AATAATAATAATAATAATTATTATTATTATTATTTTTATTATTATTATTATTAAAACATGTATGCGTCTAAGAGCAGTGAGAAAAATCTATACATACAGTGTAAGTAAAAAACAATTGTCATTATTTCTTGTGTAATTCATAAAATTCAACATGCTTCTAGTTTATGCATAATGCATTTTGCCTAATTTAGGCTGATTTATGTTTCGGTCTGACTTAGTCAATCGACGGGAGAGAATGAAGAGGTTGGAATTACAGGAGAGTGAGTGGGCGATTAAATGATGACATCTAGTGGTGAATTTGGAGATAGGTCACGGTTGTGTTTGGAAATTTTCAACGAACACCTGTTCACTTCAATTTTCCATCAATTATTGATGTTAAAATAAAATAACCAATTTAATTTTTAATTTTTACATAAAAACTTAAATGACAGTTAACGATGACAGATTTGATCAATTCCGGCGTCTTTAGATAAAGACACACTGAAGCTAAGCTAATACCTATGTTCAAAAATGAATATCTCCATTAACCTTTTCGTGATTTATTATTTTATCAAGCATTATTATCGTGCTGTATTTTATATTATGGTACAATACGTTAAAATCCTGCTGTGATTTTATTGACAGTGTTGTTAACCCTTGTAGCCGCTTTCTGTCCTTTAAATGGAAATGTATTAGATTGAGTTCAAATGTTTTGCATCAGTCTGACCTTTTGGGAAACAATGAAAACTGCCGTCTCCATACATTATTCCTGACATGTGAAATGAGAGCAGGAGACTGGAGTTGAATCTTTCTCTTAAACGGAGTTAGGATTGACGTAATTAGACAAGCCACAGCGGCTTCTTTTTAAAAAATGACAAAACTTTAACATTGCTTCAAAAAAGAAATTACTACATAATAATGGGATGTATGTAGATATCGCAATGTTAATTAAACAGTGTGAATTTTGAGTTCAAAATTGAGATAATATTTAAATTATTATTTATGGACCATCATTATGATAATAGAAATACTCACATATAATATTGAACATTACTATAATATTACCGTATTAATACGCAGTTACACTTACGTGCTTATACGTTTACACCGCTTTGGTTTAATAATATAAATTTCGTTATTTGTTGGCAACAGGGAAGTCGTATATCACATGTAGCCAAAGGTGCTACACGTCTGATAAATGTATCATTATTTAGTGCTATAAAAGTATCAGTTATTCCTCCACTTAATTATAATTTGGGGTTTTTATAGATGTATAGCAGGTTTTAAACAATAATACGTGCACAAAATGTTGTGTTATATCCACATTAAACGGAATATTAAAAGTCAAGTGGATTTTTATTGTGTTTTCTAACGAGAAAATCACAACGACGCGAATATTGTTACAAAGTAAGAAGTTATAGTTATTTTAATCAGTGAATTGCGTGTGTGCGGGTGCGTGAATGCATATGTAG